CATCATTTACCATTCATATTTAAGAAAAAGTGACTGTTTTCAAATTGTTCCAAGATACGTTCATTTTTGTTCTACATGTAAGTTTGGAGGGTATACAAGAGCAATTGTCATCGCAAATTTTCCCATGTTGAAAGTACCAAGCAATTACCTATTCTTGTGATTACCACTGAGAAAACGTATTTCCATCAATCAATGCATCACTTGAGGAAAATTATTGATAAATAATGTCAAGGTTGGTAGTGAAGATTTTGGACGGAAAATTTATTACATTGAAACATATGATAGTATCATCAAAACGTAGTCTTCGTTATTCATAATTAAATGACAGACTATTCCATCAACAGATACTAATGGTTGTGAGCTCGTAGGTGATCAGCTTTTCATTGAAAAGAAAACTTGTAAATTTATAGCAAAAATTGAAAATAATAATTCGAAATCGACATAAATTTTAAAAGTTCGTAGAATTTATATAATGTGCTAGCATATTGACTAAGCTTGTGTGTAAATTATTGTTTTTTTCTTTATTTCTAGTGCAGCTGGGTTGTCTTATTACCTGCTAGAACTTGTTACATTTAGAGATTGACGAGGACAGTTAAGCAAATATCTTGTTCTTGTTTAACAATGCCTTTCGTTGTACACGTGCAAGGAAATAATAATTTTCTGTTTGTTGTAAGCAAGACAATAATATTCGTTATTTTCATTCTTATCGATCATCTCAATTACTTGTAAATGGAGTAGTGTGTATACACACACACATGGACAATTCTTGGTGTACAAAAATTTTTTTCAATCATGCTACAAGTACACTAACTTTAACATCAAGTTTGACGTTGTACCACGTGACAACATAACATTGGGTAGTTTTTAAAAACGACACTTTCCCGCCAAACACAACTTGAATTTACACATGTTGTCAAACTTGATGTTAAGAAAACAATGTATAAGAGGTTTTATTCAAAAAAAAATTTGTTAAATTTACAGACCACACACAACATAGGTGGGACCCTCATTTTTTCGGAATATTTTATTGACAATGGGACCCACATCTAAGTCCCTCATCTCTTAACAAAATAAGGGCATGTTTGGTACATAT